CTAATTTTATCATTCCCCCCCCCCCCTCCCAAATTTAACTTGCTATCTGTGAGAATTAAATGAAATGCAAATTAAAGCATAATTCTCGAAAGAAAAGAAAAGAAGAACTGAATACATGCGTACAGCACAAAAAGCTAGCTATCGCGTGCATGCTCATGCAAAATTACACGCACACACAATACACTTAAATATAAACAACGATAACAATAGCATCGACGTTTCGAGGATAATGTGTAGGCAAACATTACAAGTACCCTCCACCAAGCGAGATAAAAATCAAATAACATGTTTTGTGTATCGAGATATTTTTGCCGTGTCTCTTATATACTAGAAATACTATTAATTTCCACGTATGATAGCGTACAAAAATGAACTTTTACGCATGATAATAATCGTATTACATACTGATAGCTGTGATGTAATGTTAGTACACAAAGAAGATGCGGCGATATATGGTGTGCAATTATTATATCCAAGATATATTCATATATGCACGTATATACATGCACAGCATCATGTATCACAGTATATGTGTACATATATTAATATCTTTTTTTTATATGGTGTGTTAAGAAAGAGACAAAATAATCACTAAGGTACTTTTCGTTTCCACAGAACGTTTATTTTCGATGATTATTTCTTTTCTTGGTCGAACACATGACACGTACGATTCCTGTCGTAATAATACGTAATTATCCGCGACGTGTGGGCTTGAACAGTCTAATTTTATAAAATTATATATAATATTATCCTTCTTTTTCTATAAAATTAAAATGTTATATATACGTGTGTATAAGCACCTGCGTGTTTCTTTTTGACAAATCGATAGCTGTGGACAATCCAAATACGGAAATTTCAATTCTACTCGTGAATATCCACATGTATGTATATATATACATATATATATATATATATATATATATATGTAGACAGGTAACATCGAACGAGTGGTATATTTTACAAAAATAATAACGTGGGTATGTGTAATTTTTAATGAATGAAGTCCCCAAAATTTTTAAGCGTATAATTAAAAATGTAGTATTGCAAGATTCTATATTAAAATATACATCCAATTCTGTTATAATAAGAATATGGCAGGAAACGTACGCGACAAGTGATAGAGATATACATTGTGTACAGTATCGATGCAGTGTTCGCAAAATTTTACACATCTGGTGTTCCTCTTCTATGAGTTGAATAGTTTATAAATTTTATATCACACGTGTCGATCGCTGGTCACATACGTAGGCTCATATATCGTTATTACTATTATATTAATATATATATATATATAGATATATATATATAGATAATTCTCTTTCAACTTCTTACTATCGGAGAGTACAAAACCTATATAATTTACCTTAGCAATTATTTTGTCTTTATACGGCTCGTACAATTGCACAATTTTTTACGTAGGCCGATCCCTTTGATTTTCTCGCAGTTTCTCACTAGTGATCTATTTTTTCTTTTTCGATTCTTTCAGTTCTTTTGTGTAGACAACACACATAGATCCTGCGAATTCTGCGCCACACTCTTTTTTTCCCTTTTTTTGTGTTGTTTTGGATTACATTTATTATCGTTGGATTAAAGGCTAGGTCTAAGAGGTTCTTGTTCTTTCCATTTGATGCTTTAAAACATATTCAGGAAGAACAAAGCATCGATGTGATTGTTCAAATAAGACACTAATTTTTCATAATCAAAGTAGAAATATATTTAATATTCGTACAATCATAGTCGTTACCGATAAAGCACTAAATTGCACGGTGAAATTCATGCGTTAATTACGATTAATAATAATTGAAGGAGAAAATTTTGGAAAATAAAACATTTACATATAATATCAGTATTTAAAGTATAATAAAATCGAAAACTTCGCGCACATTCTTCCTGAATGTTTCTTGTCTTCTTTTTTCTTTTTCTTCTTTATTTATATTTTTCCCCCTAAATTAAATTATATATATATCGTATTACAACACGACCTAACAAAATTCAGTGATTCGTACTGACTCGATCAATTCATTCGCGATATTTGTTCATAACATATTCTACGAAAGACCCACGACAAAATTTAAAAGTATACACGTGCCTTTGAAAAATAATTTCTTCTCTTGTGCAAATTTCTATACACTGTCTTCATCTCTTTATACACAAGTCATTCGATTTACACGCGGAATATTTACTCGCTAAGAAAAAAACTTCACGGTTTCTTTTTTTTTTTTTTAATTATTTTCGTCTCTTATAAACTACAACTAAACATTCTTTTTCTTTTGTTTTTTAAATATAAGGCATTCTGGTCTCGCTAAAGATGTAAGATATAAAACAAACTACAGAATTTTGCACTGAGAAGTCCAGAAAGAGGCAACGATCATAGCAATCACACAGTACACATATAATGATCTAAATTCAAAATACTAGGTCCTAATTGTGACAATAATTATAACAATAACAACAAAGGCATCGATTGGTGCCACAACGCTTAGCGGCTCTATAAATTTTTGTTTGTCACAATGGCTGCACGACACACGTGTGTCGCGTGTGTATATTTTATGTAAATACAAACGCATTCTTAATAGATAATATATATATCATTTTTAAATATATTAATCACGCTATCTCTCGTTCTTTTCTTATACGTTCCTGAGATAATATCCATTCTATATTTAATTTGTTGCTTACATATATACATATATAATATATATATTCTTTATTCTATACATATATGTAATATACATATATGATATACATTATACACATATATAATATACATATATAATATATATATTATATATACATATAATATACATATATATTGTCCAACATGCGATATATCGTTAAGAATTGAGTAGGAGAGAAAAAATGAGAAAAAAGGTCTACGCGCGCCCACGATTATTACAAATAAATATAAAAACAATCTACATATACACTTACAGACGCTCAGTGATCAAAGCTGAAATCATTGTACAAGAGAATGTAAAAAATAAAATCTTAGGTAGGAAAGTTCTTAAGTAGTCACACAAATAGATGGGCTATTTTGTTTCGGTAATGCTTAAACGCTGAAGAAAGAATTCTCTCTTCAGATTCAGAGAACTTAATATGAACAAATCTGATCGTCTCTTCATCGACATCTAAAAAACTGAAAAGTTAAATAATATCTTTATCCCGTCGCATGTTTCCATCTCGTTAACTCTCATAAGCATGCCATCCTCTCAACTCTATAAACGTTAATAAAAAGGCTCTCTTTATACATTCGTGAATATCTGATTGAAAATACCATTGATGCGATGTGAGGATGTGCTCATCGGTTTTTAATAGGAAACTACGCACGGTTAAAGAATCATCGTTACATCGTTGTTCTGATTTTTTAAGGTTCGATATAGATGAATTGTGATTTTGTGTCAGTAACGCTGAGTAATTCGACAGAATAGGTAACATGTAACATGATCAAAATTAAGAAGTCGTCCTATATGCAAAGATGAGTCAAAGATATAGAAATTGTAAAATTCCTCGAGCAGAATTTAATTTTCTGTAATCTACAAAAAAATGATTCTACAATCTGCATCAAAGATAAATATAGATTAAGAAATGATTCTAAAGAACATAGACAATATAGCGTCCGAATTTGTTTAAAAATTGTGAGAAAACTTTCTAGCTTTAGAAATGACATTTCAAATAGCAATATTACGATCTAATCAACACTCCATCATCAACAATATAAAAGTTGTCGAATAGCAGCCCCTCTCAGCAAAATATCAATAATAATGCACAACTCGTCTAAATCAAACCTTAACCAAATTGTCAATCGCGATTTTCTGACCAGACTTCAATGATGGCCGCGTATTCTAATTCGTATACGAGAGATAAATGAAAAAAAAAAATCGCGATATTAACAAATCTATAATTATCCTGTACTAACAATGAGAGCAAATTCTACGAAGTCCATTACTTCATATCGCATCTATTATAATCGTAATTATATTTCACAATTGCTCAACACTCTATGCCGCACATTAACAAACGACAGTCATATACAGAAGTTGCATCTTTTTTGAGCCGTGTTCCAACTTTCGTAATTATAGAATTATTTTTCTTTTTATACTAATAGAAATGCAACTTCCTATTGCACGCAGAACAACGCGATAATAACCCTTTGCGTTCCTTTCGAATCCTACGATAATCCAACAATAAATGTGCTATAATAATTACAATATCGTGGAGCATTGTATTCGTTCTTCTAGATATGTTTTAAATCATATACATATAAAATGTTCGATGGAGAGTTCAATGCTAGAATAAGAAAGGGATAGTATTGAAAGTATCGCACAGAAAGCTTAGCAAATATTAGCTTCGGCTGACACGAAACGACAAAAAAGATAAATCGGACTGCAAAGGGTTAGTCGGAAAGAATCTTTGTTAATATTATTTTATCCGCGTATAAAAACAACGACGATGTAATACACATGTTAGTTTCAACAAAATTATATGTACCTTAACAAATACATACACTTTTAAATTCGTATTAATAATACATTTATGTTTTTCTAATCACTCTCAATCACTTCACTGCATACGATTATACATTAATTCTTTTTTCCTTTTCGTATTTCTTCTTTGTAATTTTTTTTTATTTTTATTCATAATTTATTAAATTCTTTATAGTTTTTAAGTAACCTCGTAAGTTGTTCTAGCCATATTACCCGTTTATGCAAAAGTTTGATTTTATATGAACGCAACACTCTGCACACCACCCTTTCTCCGAAATTCTTTGCTAGAAAGGAATTGTTTTTTTTCAACCACCTCGAACTTTATTCGATCGAGTAGCTTCGCAAAAAATGTACTAATTGGTTATAGTTAATATGATAAGAAAAAGAAATAAGGCTGAAAGAAGTTACTCTCCCTTTTTCTAGATTTTTTTGAGCATTCTCTATCTATCGACATTTGACCATTAGCGCAAAAAATAGTTATTTTCTAAATTCTGATCTGGCAGTGTTTCGTACATTAATATTCACGACAATCTTTTCGACAATATTGAACTACTCTACTCGTAAGCTCTTCAACTATGTGTATCATACTAACAACTAGGTCGCTGACCTAAATACTATAGTGCATCTACGTTTTCTTTTTCCCCGTGTCTCTACCTTCTTTTTTCGACAAAGAAGACATTTTAACGTGAAACAAAAAATTACTAATAGTTCTGAGAATTGCATCTTCCATAATATATCATTACTATATATAATTTAGAATATATACAATAAAGAAAATAATTGTCGTGAAATATTATCCTTTTTTCTTAGATTCAAGGACCTACCTTGAAAATATCTTATAATCAAATAATTCTTAATTGATTTGACAAAAAGGTAATTGAAGAACTTCTTCAGTGTTCTTAAGTAAAATAAAATGACCTGATATTTTCACTTCCTTTTTACATATAGCACGTGAATTCGCAACATCGTCGTCTTCTTGATGCAGTTACTTCATCCTCCCTAGGTCGCATGGACCTCACAAGACTTTTAACTTTTCGTTTTTACTTTTCAATGAAGGCTTACACTCATTTAACTACTCTAAGGAGCTGCGCTACAGGTACAAAGGTTGAAAGATCGAAATGATAAATTTTAACACTAGAGGAATAGAGATCGTTTGACATGCTGCTACTTCTACCATTCACAAACTGGAAGGGAGCAGAGAGGATAGAGGCAAGGTGAAAATGTATTCCTTCAAGATCGAAAATTCATTCTACGGGAATCTCCAGCCACTTCTTTTTCTCGTTTTCCATCCTATTATTCAGCCCCTAAAACTCCAAACTGCCTTCTCTTATAAAACAAATAACATTCGTTATTTTTTCTTTCAAAACCTTTTTATGACTTACGATATTATTCTATCTTTCATACAAAGATACTTCAATTGATATTCTATGTCACTTACACAAAGATATTCAATGATGATACACAATCAATGGAATATTCAATGAATGTTGAGTATATATCAAATTAAACGTATTTAAAAAATCAACTAACTAACATAATGAATAGAAAGAAGACAATTGGAGGACTGAGAATCGTAGTGATATAAATCAGTCCACTAATATTTTTCATAAAATATCGTTCTGTGTTTATTACTATAAAAAGACTTAATGAATTATGGAATTTTTATGATGCGTGATAGGATAATGCTTTTCGGAGTTGAAGCGCCTATGACTAAATCTAAATTTTCAAAATTTGAACTTATACTACCACGATTCCCAGTCCGTCAATCATTTGATATAAAAGAAAATGGAGCAAGAAGTGGCTGCAGTTACTACCGCTACTTTGGAAGCTACCTCTTAAGTCCACTACAAGACAGGATTTCTGTACGAATGTTATTCCGGTGGTGGAGGTGGTGGTGGTGAGGAACTGGGAGGTGGTCCGCTCGGTAACGGTGGTGGTGTCTTGGGTTCCTGCCGAGTAGACGGAACTGGGATCATGCTTTGATTTTGTCGCATATTCGGTGGTAAGGATGGTGGCGGTACAGACGTATCGATAGCACCGTCTGGTGTTATAATGACATTACCCGCCGGATACATCGGGTACTGTTGCTGATATTGTGAATAGTACATGACAGGATCGTAAATGTACCCGGCAGGGTTGAACATCGAGGGTGGCGGGTAATTAGCAAAAAAATAAGAATCTGGTTGGGTCTGATTTACGTGGCCAGCCCTCGAGTAACCTGGATCACCACGAGCTGAGGATGGAAGAGGATGGTGTGGATTACGGGCATTGTTACTATTGTAGGTGTCTTGCTGATAGTAGCCGTCGCGCTGGCCGGGAGCACTGTAATGGCCCGCC